TTCTGTATGAATAAATAAATCTTAAAAAATATATATATATATATACACCCTAATCTGAAATGTCCTCTCCCTACAGTGTTATCTGGCAAAATCCTCCTAGGTCTATAAAGTTCCACATCAACATCATCTCATAGCTATATAAAGTGTCCATCTTCTAGGAGAGTGTCTCCTCTTCCTCTGCACTCATATATACTTATAAATGTGGTGATTTGATCAGTTATCCCACTGTGATTAATTGCTTAAGCTCTTTGTCCTTACATTGACTATTAGCTGTGTAAAGGGAGAGGTCTTTTAATCAATTTTTTCAAGGTTATATATCATACACAATAGATGCCCTACAAAAGGTTGCAGAAAAAAAGCATGAATATGAGATTCTTGAAAAAAAGAGAAGCATCATTTTCTTTGTTTTCAATTGTAAAGCAAGAGGGTTGGGAACAGGTAACCTAAAATACTTTCAGCTCAAAGATTCCAGACTAAAGTTATAAAGCTGACCCTTGAATAAGCTGAAGTATTAGTTCACTGTAAGTAGTATTTCTATTAATTTTTTCTTGTATTTAAATATAATAAAAATCATTAAAGTTAGAAAGTACCTCTGAATGATAGGCTGCTTGCTGTAAAACTGGTTCCTGGTTTTGTTTAGCTGGAAAACAAAGAATTGCATTTGCAGGAAATTTTTTACTGGGCACCCTAGTCACTTGGCCTTCACTGGGAGGATCATCTTCCTAAATAAAATATAAAGACAATTAATACAACAGAAATTCAACCAAATAATTTTCTCAATTTATAGTTATTAAATTTAGCAGAAAGCATGAAAATGGCCACACTGGTACTGTCTCAGACTATTTATAGACTCTCAGTTAATTCTTATTCCCATTTGACTATACTAAAAACCTATTACATTCGCCTCAGATATAAACAACATCATAAAATAATATAGTTATATTTAAATTGGTGATTGCTATAAAACCATTTAACCTGTCCCATGTGACTTAGTTTCAATGATCCATAAATGTTTTATATAATGTCATCATTATATTATGCCAAACATTACATAATGTTTTTGGCTGACATGCTTCCTGCAGTTAACAAAGCAATGCCACAGTGTGGCAGTGGGAGCAAAGCACTGATGTGGTACTGCGATCTGGAGTGTAGGCAGGAATGAAAAGATGCAGTAATATGTTAAGGCATGTGCAGAGTACCTCTGCCTTTGTGCTGACCCACGTGGCGTGGCAGACCTCTCCTGACCCGCCCACTGCTCCCCTCAGCAATATACTTCATCGATCTGCCTGTTTTGCTCCCCACTCTGTCGCTGGTGAGTCCTCTCACCGCCCCTGGACCTCTGGCCTGTACCCCCAGTTCTGTATGCATAAATAAATAAATCTTTTTTAAAAATTTAAAAAGTTTTTCAAAAGAAAATATCTGTCATATCTATATATTGATATGTAATCTATAAAACATAAAACATATTTTTACAAGCCTTTTCTTTTTATTCCATAAGGTTATATCATGACTAGGAAGGGTAAGTATACTTACTATTTCAGGTTTTATTTTTTAGCGCAAAAAAAATAAGGGAAAAATAACAAATGTATATGAGAATTAATTCAAACAGCTTAAGTCTGACCTAAAATTTTATAAAAACAACATATCCACTGTAAATAGTGCAGCAATAATCATGGGGGTACAGGTGTCCTTTTGAATTGATGTTGTTGTGTCCTTTGGGTAGATACCTAGGAGTGGGATTGCTATGTCATATGGAAGCTCCATTTTTAGCAGTTTGAGAAACCTCCAGTTTTCCATAGTAGTCGTACTAGTTTGCATTCCCACCAGCAGTGTAGTAGAGTTCCTTTTTCTCCATATCCTTTTTCTCCACATCCTCACCAACATTTGTTGTTGCTAGTTGTTTTAAGATGTGTCACTCTCACTGGGGTGAGATGGTATTTCATTGTGGTTTAATTTGCATTTCCCTTCTTAGAAGTGATGTTGAACATTTTTTCATATGCCTGATGATTGTCTACATTTCCTCTTTGGACTAGTGTCTTTTTTTAGCTCTTATGCTCATTTTTTGATGGGGTTGTTCACTTTGTTTTGTTGAGTTTAATTAGCTTATTGTCTAGCTTTGTGATCAGTCCTTTGTCATTAGTATTGTGCACAAATATTTTCTCCGAATCAATGGGGGGGAGGGGTCTTTGCTTTGTGTAGTGTCTCTTGCTGTACAGAAGCTCTTTTACTTGATGTTTATTGCTGCATGATTTAAAATAGGGGAGATGTGGAATCAACCCAAATGCCCAAAAATAGGTGACTGGACTAAAAAGATGCGGTACATATACACAGTGGAATATTACTCATCAATCAAAAAAGATAAGCTCATGCCTTTTGTAGCAACATGGATGGAGCTGGAAGGGATCATGCTTAGTGGAATAAGCCAGAAAGAAAGAAAAAAATACCAAATGGTTTCACTCATAACAGGAGCATAAGTGGTCAGGGGAAAAAGAAAAAGAGAGAGACAGAAGCAAATGTAATAAAGTAAAAGTGAGAACAACAAACAACTATAAACCAGAGACTTGGTATGGGGGGTATAAAGGGGATGGGACAAAAACTGGAATGAGAAGAGGGCACTGGACTATGGTGATGGCACTCTGGTGAATTGGTGGTAGGAAACCCACTGGGACTACAACTAAGATGGAAAAATATACAAAATGAAGAATGATGTAAAATAAATAAATTTATAAAAAAATCCAGGTGACAATTCACATAAGCCAGACTTTCATTATCTAATTACGTTTTTGTGTTTCTTTCAAAGCTACCAGAAACACAGAAGTTAATAAAAAATTTTTCATTCTGAAAATTATGATAGTAAAATACATCATTGTGAAATGTGCAAGAAACTTTAATTCCTTCATGAATATTTTATTAAATTTTATTTCTGTAACTCAAATATTTTAGAGAAAACCCTGATCAGTGGCATTAAGTTCATCAAGACATTCTTCATGTCTGAATTCAACATTCAGTTAATCATTCTTACCATTTCTAGGGCATCATGCAGAGTGCTGGACAAGCTGTCATTTAAATTTGTCAGATATTGTCTTCCATCTCCTAAAACTAAAAATTGTAAAAATTTACAAAAAGGAAACAACATAAATTGAATAAATAATATGACTATAAATTCATTACATGTAGGCTTTATATTTATGGATGTGGCCAGTATTTTTATTGTATAAATTTTAATGTAATGTCCTACATTGTATTACAGGTCATGTCCTGTATTACATTACAGGTTTTTGGCTTACAAGCAACAAACCTGTAATGTAATACAGGACATTACCTGTAATACAATGTAGGACATTACATTAAAATTTATACAATAAAAACACTGGCCACATTCATAAACAATAATTCACAAGCTATTCAGTCTCCTTATTTTTTTAAAAAAAATGCATTTTATAACATAGATGAGTTCTGTTTCGCCAACCAGATTATCAAAAATTAAAAAGAATTATAAATATTAACTGACTAGTCTTTCTGAAGGGCATGTTTTAAAATGTATCAATATTTTTTATAACAGTTTATTTTTACATCATAAAATGTATCAATATTTTAAAGGTGCATACTTTGATTCAGCATTTCCATTTCTAGGCATGTATACTAAGAACATTATATAAAGTTCACAAAGATATAAAAAAGATAGTCATTGGCAATATATATACCACAGAAACATTGAAAATGATTAAGTGCCCACAGGTAGTCTAAGAGACTACACAGCACTAAAAAGTGAGGTAGCACTAAATGTATTGATATTGAAAGATAGCCATAATACACTATTAGATAAAGAAGTTCACATTTCAAAACAATGTTATGGTATGATCCAATATTAAAGGCATATATCCATATATGCATAGAAAACAAGAAAAGACTGAAGGGATATATCCCAAACTAGTAAGGGTAATATTACTTTTCCTCTGATGTTAAACCTTGAAAAGGAGGTAAAAACAATTCAAACAGGATAATGTGTAAATTATATAAGTATTACTTAGGAATTACCATAATCTAACTAGTGAAATTAATTGATACAAGATAACTTACTCTTGATAGCCAGTTTTTGACCATAATTTAGCAAAATCTCTCCTTCAGAGATGGGTCGATCTAAAGTTTCAGTTTCAGTGAAGCTCAAGGTACTCTCCATAATGGATGAATCAGAACTTGGCATCTGTGTGGGGGAAGGGGCTGTGGCACCAGCAGGGAGTGGAGTAAAGGGAACTGGCTTTGGAAGTACAGGCTGACTAGGGAGATCCCTGCTGTCAGGTTCTTCATCCTTCGCCACAGACATTACACTGAGAAGAAACAGACGTTATTTTGAACTTTCTGTGTTACTAAAGGTTTATATTCATTTTGATATAAAAAAAATTTTGAAGGTACTAATATCCTTTAGCAAATACTTCTATGTTCTGACCTACATAATTATTTTTCCAAAATGGTTTTCATGTTTTAATCATAAACCATTTTGAAAGTTCTACCATCTGTAACATGTAGCTATGGAGATGTGTAGCAATATATAAGTTATTGATCATAATAAGTTAAAATTCACACTGCGGAAAAGTCATTTTCAATTTTATTAACAATATACTAGATATCTTAATTTTAACCTTTTTCCCCAAAAATATTATTAAAAAACTGAAGGTAAATATGGGAAAGATTTTTTAAAATGTAAAATTTATGAAATTTCATTCTAAAATATTACTTAGTAGCTTGTGATTTAGAAAACTTCATTAATAATTTCTGATATTTTCAATGGGTCACATAAATCAACTAAGATATAGCACAAATAAAAAAGAATGACTATATTATTATTTACATAGCCCTTGGGTGAAGTTCTTCGTGAAGAGAGTTAGGATTCTCTTCTTCCAGTGGCAGGTCTCCATCACTCCATGGCTTGGGAAGCTCTGGGCTTGATTTCTTCAATTTGTCAATGGAAATCTCTGACAAAGTTGGAGTAATAGCTGCTGCAGGAGGAGGTGTAGTAGCAGGGGTAATTGTTGGAGTGTTAAAAAGTGTGATGGCAGGCATATCAACTCCTACAGATACTTTTTAAAGAAAAAAAAGATAAACATTAACAATGTCATCAGAAAGTAAGATACAGTATTTTAGTAACCTCTTAACATTTTGGAATTCAAATAATGGAACTATTATTAATGAGAAAATTCCCAAAATATAAAAAGTTAATTTTTAAAAAGTTAACCACTTTTTCACCCTCCTACCCTATACTTAACATAGTGTAAGTGTCTGTTAGATTATATGTTTTTAAAAGTGTCAACCAAATCCTTCATTTTATTGCAACAAAAAATTACCAAAGCCTAGTGGTAACAGGTATGTGTCTATAAATCTATAAAGCACCTTACAAAATAACCTAGAGCTTTAACAGTTGCTAAAACTAAAATTATAGAAATAAGATTTCTACCTTTTTCAGCAAGTATTTCTGCCACAGGAACAGCTATATCATGATCTGAATCACAGGGGGAAGAATCTGGAGTTTTCACCAATATATACTCCTTAGAAGGAGATGAAGGGGAGGGAGGAGGAGTTGGCTCTGGGGTAGCCACTGGGGTACACATTCTTTCCTAAAATGAATAAGGAAAACAAAATAAGCAGTACTTATACCTACCTAAATAAAGGTAATCTTGAGCAAAATTGAGCTCATTCAGAGATTACACCAAATTTAAACAGATGGGAAAATGGAAGCCAAAAATACCAATTCTTGAACTCCTGTTAATTTCAAGTCTGGCCCAGCAAAAGTCTCAAGCAATTGAAACAGCATTGCCTACAAAGTAGACTCCAAAGAAATAAGGCTCCCTCTGCCAATATAAAGGGGATGATTAAGCCACTAGAGGTAAAGATCAAGCCCACATACAGACTGTATAGCTCCGCCATGTAAAAGAAAACAAAACATTCTAACTAGCTGACAAGAAAACAAAGAGCAACTTTTCAGCAAAAAACAACATAGCCTGTATAAAGCTATGGAAGGATAGAAAAATTAAAAGCAGTGAGACAACATGGATATGGAAAGCCCTGGGGAAGAAAAAAACTAATTATTTTAACATTATTTTGTTAAACAGACAATCATTTAAATGGCTCAAAATTCAAAAGGTATTAAAGATAGTGAACATTAGTGTTCTTTCCTACCCATCTCTGACTTACATAGTCCCTCCCATTAAGTTACCAAATATAATCTGGATTTAAGTAATTTGATAGATGGATAGACAGATGGATAGATAGGTAGATATATATAGAGAGAGACAGACAGACAGACAGACATACAGACAGACAGACAAATAATCTATGGAATAAATTTCTACACGTGGGACTATTCCACTAAAGGGCTAACTGAATTTTAATTTTGAATGCATATTGTTAAATTTCCCTCCCTCTATAGGTTGCATTTCTTTATAATGCCATCAAAAAATATGAGAGCTCCATTTTCTCCAAAGTTTCCAAAGCACAAGGATCATCATACTTTGAGTTTTACCATTCTGATTAGTTAAAATGGAATTTTAGCTATTTTTTTTTCTTATTATCAGTGACAGTGACCATCTTTTATGTGTTCCCATGCCATTTGTATTTCTCTTTTGTGTGTAAGCTGAATGGAGAGTCCTTTGTCAAGTTTTCAAATATAACATTTTGTTTTGTTTTGTTTTCATTCTAAAAAGTCTTTAAACAGTGAGGTGTTTAGTTAGCCTTTATTCTGTGTTATGAGTTACAAGTTGATATATGCATTTTTAAATCCACGAAACATCAGAAATTCTATAGTATTGTATGATAATTACCATATTCTTAAGGTTGACTTGTAAATGAAAGAAATGTATTATATACATGTTTTCCTTGACTGCATAAACCTATAGCTTAAGAACACTGTTTTCAAATACGACACTACTAACTTAGTATGAGAGGATTTCATAGTGTTCTACTAGTACTGGTAAAGGGTACTCATGACAATAAACTATTTACTGGGTATTCATACTAAATTCTAGGCACTAGATTAAGATCTCCTGATGTGTATCATTAAATCTTCTATAACTAGCTAATATTCAATATCACTCAATTCTACCCAAATTAGAAGAATCAAAACTGGATTAATTCCATGAAAATTCCAATAAATCTTTTATGGCACCTAAAACAAATGTGGAAGATCAAAAAGCCAAGGAAAGTCATGATAATTCTGCACAAAGGAAACAAAATGGTAGTGACAAAAGATGCTTACATATTAAATATTCAGAAAACAGACTTTTGGTAATGGCATGGTCATTAGAATGCTAAGTATTTTATATCCATTATGCAGATGAGCTAAAGTAACATTTAAGAGCTCAAATTTACATATTCCCAACTCCAGAGTCCATGCTTCTTAGCAATTATACACAATGCCTATTTATATTGAATTTTCTACATTTTCTCACTCAACCACCTCCATGAAGTTATATGCTGTTATACAACTGGAAAACAAATCAAAGTTAATAGACACAGAGAAAACCATCACCTTGACAATGCCTGCACTACAAGCATTACCTGAACTAATAAAGCACAGAAAGCAACTATATACCAAGTCTCTGAATATGAACCATATCACAATTACATTATATCAAGTTCCCCAAAATTTAAGTATGCAATTTTATGTTTATACCTTAAATGACTTAGCTTAAATATTTCATCAATGTAATTATTTCTTCTTGATCTATAGAAGCAGAAGTGACTATGAAGTTTTAAAGAGCTGACAATATAGAATATATATCAATTATCAACATAATAATATATTGCTATAATAGATTAGAAACTAACATATTCAGGGTGATTAAACAATAACAAAAGTTGAAAAGAAAACTGCCTGAAATATATTTTCTTTTAAAGATTAAAAATATCAGTTTAATGATTGAAGACTCTGGGTGCTTTATTTTGGTAGTGGGAGAGCTACACTGACCATGAAAGGAGAAATCCTATACAATGGGAGGAGAAATCCCATACTGGCGAAAAATTAGCAAGAATGTAAAAGAATGAACTTCATTAAAATATTAAGAGTAGGGCCCTCCCTGGTGGTGCAGTGGGTTAAAGCACAGCACAGAGAATCTAAAGCCACTTCTGAATGAGTTCAATTCACTCCTGCCCGGGAGGTGACCACATGGCTGGCAGACCTCTCCTGGCCCACCCGCTGCTCCTCTCAGCAGTGAACTTTGTCCATCTTCCTGTTCTGCTCTCCACTCTGTCTCTGGTGAAGCCTCTCACCGCCCTGCACCTCTGGCCTGTACCCCAGTTCTGTATGCACAAATAAATAAATCTTTTTAAAAATAATAATAATAATAATAATAGGAGTAACTGTATATAAGTATATATGTATATACATATATATATTATATGTGTACATATATACTATGTGTGTATGTATGTATATACATATACATCTATATATGTATATATATCAGTTTACATAGTAACCAAAAGTAGTGGGTAACCGTAGGTTAGATCGTGAATTAAAAAAAAAAAGCTATAAGAATATTTTTAGAAGCCCTCCCCGTGGCACAAGGTTTAAAGAAAGAGCTTATCAAGCTACTGCCAGCCACTGCAGTCTAAGTTCAACCCCAGCCAGGGAGGTGAACCGCATGGCACAGTGTGGCAGAGCTCTCCTGTCTCACCCGCTGCTTTTTTCAGCAGTGTATTTCAATACATACATTCTGTACTTCACTCTGTCTCTGGTGAATCCTCTCATCTCACACACACACACCTCTCTGTCCTACACCCCAGCTCTTGTATGCATAAATTATCTTTTTTAAAAAAAGAATATTTTTAGAACAATTGTAGAAATTCAAATATAGACACTATATTATATAATTTTAGATTTCCAGTATTCATTTTAGGAGTATGATAATACATTTTGGCTAGGTAAAAAAGTATCTTGTTCTTAGAGATAATTCTGATTAGAGGTAAAGTATCATGCTACCTAGCTTTCATATTACTTCATACATACACACACATAGGTAAAGGGTACAGAGATGTTCATTATATCATACTTCCAATTCTTTTTAAATAAATTTAAAGGTTTTTAAAATAAAATGGGGGGGGTACTACTTTAATTATAACAACAAGAAATCAATTCCACCACAAATATAAAATGCAATTTAAAATCTGCCCATTTTAATATACTTTAAAAAGATGTATCAAAAATTCTCCAGTATTCCAAGTCACGAAAGAAGAGTCATGCCTACCGGCCAGTGTACTTTACTTGCTGAAACAACCCCAGGAACACTTGTACTAACAGGATCTTGCTTCTGTGTTTCTCCATCACCCAGCATGACAGCAATAGTCTCAGCCAGAGCTTCATTCACAAAATGGGTGATCATGTCTGAATTAACAGGAACCCCAGCATCAACAAAAAGCTGGAGGGCACCATAGCTTGTTCCTTCCACTAAAAAATGAAAGAATTTCAGAGTAAGTGTGTGTTTAACATACATGCCACCTAAATCTTAATACTTACAATTTAGAAGATGCAAATATATGTGTGTGTCAGGGCTTGGAAGGAGTGAATAAAAATGAAAATACAAGCTTACTATGAAAATGAAAAAAGTGATAACTTACATAATGAACCACCTCACTAAACAAAACCAAAAATTAGAGGAAAAGGTGCAGATGAAAATTTCCTTGTATGGCTTCATCCCTATCACTATTGAATTTAGTGAAAAAAAGGATTTGCAGCCACATAGCACTCTCATCTGAAAATAATCTACATGTCCAAGAATAGAGCAACAAAAAACTTTGTGATAGATGTAAATGAAACATGAGGATACAATGACTGGGGGTTCGGTGTGTTAGAGAAAAGGCAGCTCTTCATAAAGAGCTATGAAGGCAAAACTTCTTTTTTTTTTTCAGACACACCCATTACTAATAGTATAGGTTAAGCCACCAACTATTACATTGGTTTAGGTATTTGTTATTAAAAGCTATAGGAATAATTTATTAAGTGGGCTGAACTGTTCACTTATATGAATGTATATAAAAATCAGTAAAAATTCCTTTATAGACTTTATTTAAGTGGCAGCATTTCTTTTTTTTTAATATATGTAATATGTTTATTTTTACATCATTTTGTACATTTTTTTTTCATCTCAATTGTAATCCCCGTGGGTTTCCCATCACCGAGTCACCCATGTGCCATCACCATACTCCAGTGCACTTCCCTCCTCCCCCACCCTCATTTTTTATCCTATTTCCCCACTTCACCCCCACAAAATGTCTCTGGTATATGGCTGTTCATTATTCTTATTATTTTCTTGTCTGGTCCATTATACTCCTGCTATGAGCGAAATCATCAGGTATTTTTCTTTTTCTTTCTGGCTTATCTCACTAAGCATGATCTTTTCCAGCTCCATCCAAGTTGCTGCAAAAGATATGTGTTTCTTTTTTTGGTTGCTGAGTAATAGTCCACTGTGTATATGTACCACATCTTTTTAATCCAGTCATCTACCTTTGGGCATTTGGGCTGCTTCCATGTTTTTCCAATTGTAAATAAAGCAGCAATAAACATGGGGTGCAGGTATCTTTTTGAAATTTCTAAAGTTCTATATGGCAAATATGTGAACAATGGTCTACAGGAACTTAACAGAGATGTGACCGCTCCAAAGAAAATTCTGTAAGTAGTACAACTATGGCAGCGATATCCAGAATCCCCTAAAAATTGAGTATAGGTATCTTCGGCTCACCTGCTGAGGGACAAGTAATTTACCCGAGAGTTACCATAGTGAACACTACCACAATCTCAAATTTATATTTGACAGGATATGCTGATTGATACAGCTTTTGTTTTCATATTCATTTACTTAGCATGGCAAAAAAAATCAGAACATCTCTGTGATAAAATACAAAAGCCCTAACCAGACACAAGTAAAGCAAAGCAAATACAAAGCAAATACACATGCTGAACAGAAGGGGTAACTTTGGGTGCTTGATTTAGAAACTATATTCCTTGTCTTTTCTGTATTGTTTACTAATTGTAATAAAGTTCCTTCCCATTAAAGAAAAATAAAGCAAAAAGAACAGGATCTAGATTAAAGAATCTACAGTAATTTATAGTCTAGTGAGTAAGACACCTTGTAAAATAACCATGTAATCTGAAAGCTACTACAATAAAAATATAAGCAAAGTGAACTAGAGAAATATAAACAAAGGGAAATAGAGAAATTTGGGGTTGCGGAAGAACAGAAAATGGTACATGTCTGAATGCTTGTCTGAAGTAAGGGAGTGAGGAAGAACAAACTTTCCCTCCAGAAAACTGAGAAGTGACATTAGAAATAAGGGTGTATCTCTTATAAGCTGAGGACTACTTTATCTCTAGAATATAAAATTACAAAAACCTGGAGGTTTTGTTTTTAAATAACAGAAAGACTAGAAGATTCCAGCTCACTTACCAATGTCAGAAGTCAATGGTTCACTTGTCTCGCTGACTGAAACACTGGCATTAGCTACAGCCTGTTGCTGGATTGGAAAGAGCCCAGAGATAATTCTTGACATTATTTCTTGTTCTACCCTGAAGGAACAAAGATAAGAATTCCAAATTTTGATTGACTAACATAAGGTGTTAGAGAGTTCATTAAATCAAACTAAAGTATTTTAGGTTAGTCTAATGAAATTTTATTAGTCCTAAATTCAAAATAAGGTTTAGGTCAAAATGTTGGGTTCCCTCATCTGAGTGTAATGTATAAAACTACACAAAATCAGAACTAGCCAAAAAAAAACCCAGTCCAAGAAAATATAGACTATTACGGGTTGTTATCCTCTTAAAAAGTAAATGTATTTCCAAGGTCTTTTTTAGGAAGGGGAAGAGGAAAGAAAAAGAACACAAGGACATTTCTTTAGAGCAGTTAATAGACTGCTTAAATTTATTAAGCAAGTAGCAGAGGTTCATTGTAGAATAACTACAAAATATATTAAAACATTTAAAATTGTTAAGGCTCATTCATTATCTTAGATTTAGGGGTAAACATGATTAACAATTTGATAAATGTTTTCCAGTGTTTTTCCCTATGCACATTTATTTTTGAATGATGTCTTGTAAACCGATTATATCATTAACGTCCTACTTCATTTATGCACTAGTATATTATTAACATCTTTCAACATTATTAAATATTCTTCTAACTCAATTCTTGATATCTCTACTAATATTTAGCTGTTTATTCCATAACTTCCTTACGATTTCTCACAGGCAAAAATAAGAGTTTGTAAGTCATAAAGAGCAAAAAGGAAAGCACTTAAAGTGCTTTTTGTACTAAGTATTCTAGGACCTACCAACAGAACCACAGTTATTTCCTTAGGACAAATTTCTATAAGTGAATCACCAGAATAACAAACGTGCATTTCTGAGGCTCTGATACTTGACAAGTCTTTTGTCACATTAGATAGCCTAAATAAAAATATTTAAGGACAGAAACAATACCTCCAACAATATATTAAACCCTTAGTATCACATCAATGGTTTCCAGTGACTATTGCACAGGGAACATTTAATAAACAAAAGAAGATAAGGAAGATTTTCCCTAAAGTAATACTTTCCATTTTTTACAATAGTTTACACCAACACTACTGTAAACTCACCACTGAATTAAATTATTTTCCAATGTTTCTTTCTTCTGAATCACTTTATCCAGAGTATCAGAAGTGGGCTGAAGAACAGAAGCAACTGGTGGAAATGGGGGACCATTATATTTTGTAGAAACAGCTTTAACACCTCTATTAAACTCCAAAATTGGTTCAGAGTATTCTGGAATTTCATCACATTTTTCCTCTTCCTGGTAATAATAAAAATAAAACTATTATATTCATGTGTGTGTTCAATATTTGTTGAATTAGAAGTATAGGCAGGGAAGTGAATTAACACATATTAGTAAATTAGCAACATTTCTAATTAGGTGGTATCACATCATTTACAATAAACACATTTGTCATACAAATCCACTGAATAATTATTTTGTTTTTTAAAACTCAATAGGCATTTTAGAGAGTCAAAAAACAAATTATAAAGTTACTACATATAGGATTAATATTTTTCTCCAGAAGTTTATTAACATATTGTAAAGAAACTAGTGCTTCCTAATAGCTCTTTTATCTTGCAAAACCTGTAATTTACATTTAAATACAGTTAAGCCATCTTATGAATTATTTTTTTATCCTTATATCATTACTAAAAGAGTTACTTCTAGCACTTTTAAGCATTTTATTATGAAAAATATCATAAATATTTAAAAATAAATAAAACAATCCTCATTCACCAAATCTGCTATATGAAAATAACAAATTCCATTTGCACTTTAATATCAAGCTATGACCAAACTGTGTCATCAATACTACCTCTATCCAGTTTCCCCTTAACATATCATTTTGAAGTAAATCATATAATCTATATAATTTTTATCTGTAAATAATTCAATATGTATCCCTCCCCCAAAAAGTCAAGACACTTTAAAAATTATAACTTAATACTATTTTCCCATAGAAAAAATACATCCCATGGTGCAGACTCTATGGAAAATGGTAGTGTTTCCTCAAAACAAATAAAATGGAAATGCCAGATGATGCAACAGTATCATGGCCTAGTTAAGTACCCAAAGGATATGAAAACACTAATGAAAAGATTACACATACTCTTAGGTTTATAGCAGCATTTGTCTCCATAATCAAAGTCACAGGCCCACCCTAAATGCCCATCGACAGAAGACTGTGTAAAGAAATGGAATATATATCCAATGGTTACTACTCAGCTACTTAAAAAGAAAACAAACTGGCAAACAACAAGAATAATTCTTAAATTCTGTGAAAACTATTAACAGAGAGGTGGAGTAGGGAAAAGGAGGGTGAATTAGGAAAGCAAACATGGAAGAACAAAGTTGTACCTCTATAGTTCTGTAAAATGGCAAATCAATAAAATTTCAGAGGGAAAAATAATACGTATAATTTTTTAAAATAAAGTTAATATAAGCTATATTTAAAAAAATAAAACACAAAACCTACAACCAGCAAGTGACAGGAACACCTTCAATGAACTCTAAATCTTTCACTATTTCTGAAACTTTTTTTGGTTAACTGTACATTGAATAAATAACTGTTAAAGGTCTTTATTTGGCAGTAGGAATATAAACATATAACACTAACATACTGTATATGAATACTGTTTTCATTTTATGATAAAATAGTCTTAGTTTTGAAAATCTAAAAAATATGAATGACTTCTTTAAAATTAGACTTCTTTAAAGTCTGTTAGACATTATTAGTAGTCTCTATGTTCTATGATTTTCCCCCATTATTTATATTTATGTCCTCTTTTTTTTTCCTTCTATTTTACAATTTCTATCATTTCTTTAACTCATAATGGATTCTGGACTGCTCACAACTATTTTAACTTTGAACTAACTGATGACCTTGTCAATAACCTAGAATGCAAGACAGACAATTATAGTAGAATGAAGGAAGCAGGAAAGTGAAAAGAAATAGAATCGAAATAGAAAGCAGGGTAGCAGAAGAGATGAGCTATAGGAGGGAAACAGCTAATAATCATAACATTTCATGGACGCAGATAGTTGAAGTAGATGAAGATAGCGTTTACTATAAAACAACTTTATACTTTTTTTAATTTTTATTAAAGATTTTTATTTATTTGTGCATACAGAACTAGGGCACAGGACAGAAGTGCAGGGGCAGTGAGAGGATTCACCGGAGACAGAGTGGGGAGCAGAACAGGCAGATCATTGAAGTATACTACTGAGGGGAGTAGTGGGCAGGTCAGGAGAGGTCTGCTGTACCATGTGGGTCACTGGGGCAGGTGGGGCTCAAACTCATGAGGAAATGGCTTTAGCTTCTTAGTGCTGTGCTTTAACCTGCTGCATCACCCACAAAAGCCCCAACTTTATAGTTTTAACACAAAATACATTTAACTTGAAAGTAAAAGGAAGTTTCTCCAAACACCAACATAACATAAATAATTAAAAAACACTCAATTGTCAGGAACAGGGCACTGTCTTTCAACACTGTACTGGAAAATCACTGCAAATACAATGATACAAGAAAAGGAAACAAAAGGCACATGCATTGAAAAGAACTACAACTGTATTTGTAGACAATGTCATTGCCTATGTAAAACAGCTGAAAAAATAAAGGAATAGACTTCTGGAACTAATTAAAAGTAATATCAAAGTTGCAGGATATACATTAATGTACAGAAATCAATTACATTTCTATACAATGAACAAGTACATCTTGAAATTAGAAATATCACACATAATAGTACCCCCAAGATTAAAGTATAAATCTAACAGAATATGTATAAGATCTATAAAAGAAAAACTAAAAAATTCTATGAATTTAATGTCTTCTTGATAAAAATCTCAACAAGTTATTTTGTGAATGTCAATATACCTATTCTAAAATTTATATAGGGAGAGGGAAGAAGTCTATAAGAAGCCAATACAACATTGAAGAATAAAGTTGGAAGACTGTTACTATCCAGCTTTAAGAGTTACTGAAAAAGTAAGACTGATATTGGTGAAAGAATAAACAATAGATCAATGCAAAAGAATAGAGAGCCCAGAAATAAACCCACATAAACTCAGTTGAATGACCTTTGACAAAGGAGGATGGCAATACAAGGGGGCAAAGATGGCCTTTTCAACAAATAGTGCTATAACAACTGGATAGACATAGGAAAAAGTAGATCTGGTTACAAAGCTCACACCCTTCACAAAAATTAACTAAAAATAGATCATAGCTCTAATGTAAAATGCAAAACTAAAAAATCCCCAGAAACATAAGGAAAAACTAAGATGATTATGGGAAGAAAGGTGACTTTTAAAATATAACACCAAAGGGATGATGCAAGAAAGAGTTGAGAAGGTGAAGTTTATCCAAATAAAAAATTTCTGCTCTGTCTGTGAAAGATAATGTCAAGAGGATAAGACAAGCCACAGACTGGTAGACAAACTGGTAGAAAGTATTTGCAAAAGACATATGCTAAAGAACTCCTACCCAAAATATACCTAATAATAAGAAAACAACCTAATTTTTTAAATGGGCCTAAGACATCTCATCAAAGAAGACATGCCAAATTGGCATATGTCATATGGGAAGTGCAGATTAAAATAATGATACATCAGCACACACCTACCACACCTACTAAAACTCAGAACACTGACAACACCAAAAGCTTACAAGGATATGGAATAGCAGGATCTCCCATTCATTGCTGGTGGGACTGCAGTATGATATATGTAAGACAATCTAGCAGTTTCTGACAAACATGAACATAGTTTTAGATACAATCAAGTAAGTACACTCCTTGATATTTATTGAAAGGAGCTTGAAACATATATCCAAACAAAAACTGCACACAAATGTTTACAGTAACTTTGTTTGTAATTACCAAAACCTGGGAAAAACCAAAATGTCTTTCAGTGGGTGAATGGACAAGTAAATTATGGTACAGCAGACAATGTAATATTATTCAGTGTTAACAGAAATGAGCTACCAAGCCATGAAAAGATACAGAAAATTCTTAAATGTATATTGCTAAGTAAAAGAAGTCAATCTAAAAAGGCTGTCTGATTTTAAGTATATTATATTCTAATCACTCTTTGAGTGATTATGATGTATCTTTGTAGGTTCACTATTGTAACAAAAGTACCACTCTGGTGGGGAATACAGGTAACGGGGAGGTTATGCATGTGTCAGTAGAGTTTTTATGGGAAATTTCTGTACCTTCCCTTAAGTTTTGCTGTGAATCTAAAACTATTCCAGCAAGGAAAATAATCATAAAAGGTCATCACATGGAAAAATACTGGTAAAAATATTTTGTCATAGTTCTTAAGCTTTCTTACCTGTATAACATCAATTACTTCATCAAAATTTGTTCCTGGAAACTTCATGTCTTCTTCGTCTTCTAATGTCATAAATTCTGGAGTCTAGGAAAGCATTTTCAAAAAGTTTTCATTTTGCTAATGCACATATTTCTACCCACAGTATAAGCTTGTAGCTATGTGGCCATAGCTTTTAAATGTAGTACTGTGTTCTGAATTTATTTAATTATAAAACAAATCCAAGCCATTATATTATCATTTTGAAGGCTAAAAAAATCAAATATCAGTTTTTCTGTGAAAAGACACCATAAGCAACTAACAACTGACTCAAGTAAGTTAGGTGACATAATTAAGATTTCCCTCACAGTTTATATTTAAAAATTGTTTGTATTTGTAGATATGTAAGTATAGATATACTGAAAGTCATAAAAAGAAAGATACTAAGTTAAAGATATATAAAATAACTTATTTATAAATTTAACCAATAGACCTCATTATTATAACAAACTAGTCGCAAAACCCACAAAATCTCTTCTTGAGAGTAGAACAATAAACTCCAAAAAATATTTGTAAGCATGTTTTAATAAACTTCCGGTGGAAAAAATGGATTTGAAAAAATTAAAGTAGGCACAAGTACCATTATGTATTAGTTCTACTTTACTAATTCTGATTGTGAAAACTTGATAGTGTTCTCCCTCTTCTTAAAGTGTAACTTGATGTCAAATTTGCTTACAATAGATGAAACCTGGGAAAATTAACAGTCTATCTTATTTTGTAAGTAAAGTCATAACATCCTTATTCAGTAGCAAATAAATACTAAAAGGAAATTAATACTTTTGCAACATGTCAATAGTATGGAACAGTTATATCCAAACATTATGAACTTTAATCACCCTTATAATATTCATTCAAGAAAACTGTAATTCTCATTTAAATCAAAATTTCTTCTCCAAAGAGAAATTCTTCATATATGAAATTATTAAAGTTACCAAAAGATACCATAAGGATTATCACTTTCAGAATGTTTACAAATGAATAAGCCTAAACACACACTGTTTTGCAAGTTCATAAACAAATCCAGATTCATACTGAATCTTTTACTTATCACAATAAATAATGATGGAAGTTTTTTCATGTAGTTAAAGTCTACAGTCAGACATTAGTCAACACCAAATGATAAAATTCTGAACAATACCTGTATCCATGTTTTCAAAGGAGATGTTTCTTTGGGATTAGGCAGGGAAGGACCGGAAACAGCACTACCATTTGAAAAGCTGTCAATATCTACACTGGGTAATACCTGAAACAAACACAGACCAGATTTCTGTTCATCATTTTGAGTCAAATAGTTGTCAAGCTATATATTTAATATATGAATAACTAAGTCAATGGTCAACACTTTTTTGTAATTATGAAGCATTATTTTACAAAATTTGGGAAGTAAAGAGGAAAAGACCCAAAACTCATTAAGATAACTCATTTTCCCCATTTCCTCTATCTTTTTACTGTCCATTTGCATTACTAAAATATGGCATCAGAATTTTAGAGAGCAAAAGATGAAAGCAAAAATTTTTCCTTAAAACCTTCAGTACAGGACCCTCCCTGGTGGCGCAGCGGGTTAAAGCACAGCACTAAGAAGCTTAAGCCACTTCCGCATGAGTTCCATCCCCGCCTGCCCGGGAAGAGATCCACATGGTGTGGCAGACCTCTCCTGGCCAGCCCTCTCCTGAACTCTCCTGACTCCCCTCAGCAGTGTATGTCATTAATCTGCCTGTTCTGCTCCTCACTCTGTCTCTGGTGAATGCTCTCAGTGCTCCTGCACCTCTGGCCTATACCCCAGCTACAAATAAATAAATCCTTAAAAAAAACCTTTCAGTTCATGTACCCTGTTATACCTGTACAGTGAGCTGAGGGGGATCCTTTTTTTCAGACTTCATTTCTACAACTGCAATGTTAGGTTTCTTTACTCCAGTTTCTGTTTTTCGAGATGATGGAGGAATGGAAGCAGTCACTGTTATAGGGTATGGCTTGTTTATAATTACTCCTGCAGGTGGCATGGAATCACTATTACTTTGTGTTTGTCCTAAAAAGTTTGAGGGAGAAAATAAGCCAACCATTTCAAAAATATAAAAAATAGTGTCCAAGATACTACTACCTAGAGCCTTATGACTAAATTCTCATCTGAAAGCAAAGTATTATCTACAACCATCTTTCCCTCATCATTATCACTGTCAACACACCAGCACACCATCCTTTGAACAGTAATCCACATTCATTTGGCACTGAGAAGTACTAACCACTTCACATACACTATCTAATTTAATCCTTAGTCGAAGCCTATGAGGTATTAATATTTTTTCTCCATTTTATATTTAAGTAAACAGGCATTTAGCATAATTTGCCAAAGTATAATCATTTGTAAGTAGCAAAACAAGACCTAAAGTATATTGTATCTTTAATCCTCAAATTGTCATAAAGCAACAACAGTTAATTTCATTACAGAAGTAAAGCCAACAAGAAGACAATGGTATTTAGCTTATCAACAAAAGCATACAGACCTGTAACTATCACATATGCATATGCATTAGAATATGCATATGCCAAAAACATGCTTTCACTTCGTAAATTGTACTTGTTTCCTATGTTTCAAAGTTGAGGGGTAGTACAATTGATGAAAGCAAGTGCTGTCATCTGCAGCACTGTAAGGCAGGACTGCCTAGGTTTGCATCTTGATTCCACTAGCTATGTGGCCTTTGACAAATTACTTAACTCCTCTATGTCTTGGTTTTGTCATCTATAAACTCATATATTAACATATTCTTTAGAGGATAAATTAGATGATTTAATAAATGTAGCATGCATAGGCCTATACTTGGTACACAGTAAGAACTTTGTGTTAGCTAATATAATTAGCTAATATTTTAGTTATATTAGCTAGAAGGCATATTTCAGCAGACATTAGCTACTAAGTTAACAGGTCATGAACTCATAAAATCAATATGAAATATTCTCTAACTTTGAAGATTATTCACATTTAAATCAAAATTCAAAAAATTCAAATTCAAAAAATAACAATGACACTAACAGAAAAAATTAATTCGATTTGAAGAGGCAGTTTTTACAATGATGAGTCTGAGAGACCTCAAATACATAAACAGTCAACTATTGGTTTAAAATGCATAATAATGCACAACTATGCAATTTTTACCTCTCACCACCTAGTTTAAAAGTAGTAAGTAGCTAAAGTAGTCCCCTCCCCTAAGATATGATGACTTTAACAAATCAAAACTATTCAGTTCTTTAATTATTTTGAATGTCTACAACATGTCTAAACATTTTTTTATTTTATCTACATCAACAAAAGAATGTTTGCTATGAATGAAACTAGCAGGTACCCATCATTTCACATGATCATTACACAAAGACACATTCTGACACAAATATAAACATATGAAGAAAAAGGTATGTGTCTCATATGTGAGCACTCTTTTGTAAATTCTGCTACAGCTAAGAAGAATTTAAAATTTACCCTGCACATTTTATAGGTTCTTACCTAAAAGAATTGCCATAGGAATCAGATGACCTTCCAGTGTACCTGAAAGAGTAGGTATTTCTCTGCTTGGGCTGAACAAGTACTGTTGATCACCAGGAGGCACAGTAACAGAATGTTGAAGTTTAGAATCTATCTTCTTAGGTTTTGTTGCATAAGAATCAGTTTGTGTTCTTATTGACTTGACTTTAGTGCCTGTCATAATCATCAATGACAGATATTTTAAAATATTGTTTGAACATCTATTCTCCAGCAATCTAGAAATATAGCAACATGGAAAGACCTCATTCTACACAATAAGATTATAAGGTCTCAAACTACAAGTGATATAAACCAGGAGCTGGCAAACATTTTCTTAAATGGCCAAAAAGTAAATATTTCAGCTTTGTGAGCCATATGATTTCACATGCAACATCTCAACTCTTCCAGCATGAAAGGAGTCATAAATGACATTAACGAATGAGCAAACCTATATTCCAATAAAACTTCTGAAAACAGGCAGCTGACCTGCACACCATGTTCTTCAACTCCTGAGTAGATAGTGTCAAGGTGGTTTACTAACAGCACAAGTTGAAAACTTCAAAAATAGTAACTGAAGTCAACACAGTCAATATTTAAAAGAATTACATTTAAATATTTGAGTGAAATGGTATACAGGAGTCAAAACATGCAGTGACAAATGAAAATACTTTTAGATACCTATGAGACAAAATTTTCACTTTGCTACTTCAAGCTCTTTGAGAAAGAAAACCTGCAAAAGTACCCTTTATGACTCATAGAAAGGCTAATCTTTTGATTCAGAAAGGACAGAATAGACCAAGGTCTTCAAAGAAATGACTACTTTCACTAGATTATAATTTAGATTGTTCATGACTTATCATTCTGTTTCAGGGGACTCCAGTGTGAACTGGGCTGCCTGTCTGTGGGTCCTCACCCACACACTTAAAATTAGGTTGTACTATAGGCACACACAAAAGGGTCAATACGGGGTTTATTTACAAAAAGGGGAAAGGAAAAGGGACAACCCAGGGAAAGAGAGATACAAGGTAACTAGAATATCTCACCAGTTAGGTTGACTTTGAGCTCTAATAACAAACTGACAGACCCCAGTCATGGTCAGAGAGAGAGAGAGAGAGAGAGAGGTTGCCTCTCCCCCCAGAGCCATTGAAAATTGCTCCCTATTTATCCCCCAAAGTCCCAGAATGCCTGCTTAGCTCCGCCCTTGGATCTTTGCAGTTCTCTCCTTGGTACTGCTGGGAGTTGTAGTTTCCAATTACTGGAGTAGGGGTTGGAGTCCAGAAAGCTGGAGTAGGGGGTGGAGTCCACAAAACTGCAGAGTTCCTTTAGGACATCCTTTCCCCTTAACAATTCCACAAATGCAAATTTTATCATACTTTAAACTGTTTAAACCTGTATTTTTCCCACTTATTCCTATCTTGGTCTTTTACCTATTTTTTTCATACTCTCCAGAGGATATTTGCATTCCTAAGTATCATAGAATATGAACTGTATTTATAATAAATAAAAAGCAAACAATAAACTTTATACACTAAACTGATATAAAAAATAAAATTTACCACAAAAAAAAAAATGAGGTTTTTTACCTTTCACACGTTCTATTACTTTTGGTCTCTGTGGTTTGGACTTGGGAGATGGAGAATTAAATCTGAGATATGGACCTTTCTTAAGAGTGCTGCGATGGCCTTGATAAACTGGTTTTCCATAAATTTGTATCATATAGTCCTCATCTTGTGTACCTGGAGCTCCTTTCCAAAATCCCTATGTAAACACAAAGTTACTCAATTTCCCAGCAAAACTGTCACCAAAAACTCACCTCATAATCAATGAACTGAAGTATGAAAAGGAAATAAAAGGGACACAGGAGATAAAGAATGCTGAGAAAAACAATGAAAACAGAATAGATAGTTCTTCATATTTCTAAAATATTTTCACACTCATGTCATTATTTGCATCTTAAAGGAAATGAACTGATTATAATGAAACATTTATATTACAAAGCTATAGTGCAATCTTACTTCTTTTCTGTCTTTCTGTAAACTTGAAGCTGGCATGTTCCTTATATATGGATTTCTAAAAGGCTCCTCCATTTGTCTTTGAGAATATTTTCTTGGATTTACAGAATTTTTTATGGTTTTTTCTTGTGTGTATGTTTTAATATCTCTACTCATATTCTGAGCTTTCTTGGTTCTTTGATTCTTCTGATCAAGTCTCTTTTGTTCATGATCCTTTCTTTCCAGTTCATCCTTAATATCATAAAAATTAAAATTATTTAAAATCTATCCAAGAAGCAAGCTTAAATATCAAAACAACAGAATTTTTTTTTTAACCATTAGAGACTTGGAGTTTAACAGTTTTAAATTAAGCAGAAATATGTGATACCGACTTACATATGAGTAAAAGTTCTCTGCAAAAATGAACAAAAGTCTAAAAAGACCGGTGCATATGGAGGAAAGAAGATGATAAATAGGGGAAAGGGGAAGGCAATTTTTCTTTATAAATTTTTTATACGTTTTGATGTTTGAACCACATGAATATGTAACTATTTTAAAACTTTTAGAATGTTTTTTTTTAAAGTAATCAATTTTACAATAATGAAATAAATATTGTAAGTTAAAACTGCTGAAAGGTTGGGCCTCTCTCGTGGCACAAGCGATTAAGTCTCAGCACTATGAAACTATTAAAACCAACTGTAGCACAAGCGATTAAGTCTCAGCACTATGAAACTATTAAAACCAACTGTAGCAGAAGTTTAATCCCCACCCAGGGAGCTGACCCTCATGACGCAGCAGACTCTCCTGACTCGCCAGCTTCTTCTCTAACAGTGTATTTCAGTTAATCCTCCTGCTCCCCATTGTCCCTGGTGAATCCTCTCACCTCCCACCCCCTATATCTCTGATCTACTCTGCAGCTCTTGCATGCATGCATAAATTTTTTTTTTAATTACTGAAAGGTTTAAACGAACATTTTGCAAGAAATTAGCAGCAACAGTGATGTCGACTGCCAGTTGTCTGTAGAGTCAGAACTCTTAGTTCTACTTTTTCACTGGTGTATCTTAGAGTAGTAGCTAATATAAATTCTCTATAACTACATTAGAGATATGTATTCTTAGGATAAAAAAATTGAAAATAAATTTTAGAGGCTGTGGTGATGGTGCATGAGTGAAATAGTGGTGGAAATTCTATGGTGACTACACCTGAAAAAAGAAAGCAAAAGTTAAAAAATGAGTAATGATGTAAAATATATATAAAGAAAAAATATATATTTCAGTGTTCACTCCTGATGAAACAAAACTGACACTTTATCTTGTTACCAGTATGACTAAGATACACACATATCTTATAGTCAGGAGAGAAATATTTTGTACCATTAAATTTTCAATTTAGGTTTACTCTGTCTAGTTGTGCTCCATGAAATATATAAAATTTTGAGACCTGACTCTTTAATAAAAATAATTCTCCTAGGCTCTCCCTGGTGGTGCAACAGATTAAAGCACCACATTATGAAGTTCACCAAAGCCACTGCAGCATGAGTTCAATTCCCAGCCAGGGAGCTGACCCACATGGCATGGCAGACCTCTCCTGACCTACCCGCTGCTCCCCTCAGCAGTGTATTTCAGTAGATCTGCCTGTTCTGCTCCCCACTCTGTCTCTGGTGATTCTTCTCACCTACCACAACTCCAGCCTATACCCCAGTTCTATAAGCATAAATAAATAAATCATAAAAAAAAAAACCTCCTAGATTTTTGTAATGTAAATATCCGAAATTATATCATGAACTTTGTGAAAATGAGAAAGTGGCAGTTTTTCCACCTGGAACCAACTTCTATAAACCTATTAACATTAGAAATCTTGTAGAATGCATTTTCCTTCTAAATAACTTTGGTGTTTTTACTTTGGCAAGTCAGCATTTTTAAAGCTGTTGTCTTGAAATATTTTTGTAAGTAGTACACTTCTTTCTTTTGTAAATGCCTTAAAAAATTGCTGAAATTTCAGTTAATCAATAATCTGACAGATAAGAGTCATATGTAATTTATGAGATGAAATATTTTCTTAAGTAAAATGATACTTATATACTAAGTAAATATAAAAAAATAAATGGCTGAAATTAAGAATTATAAAGTGAACTTAGATATAAGGAATATATTGAGTGTGATACTTATAAATTGGAATCAGTGTTTTCTATAGAGAATTATCGAATTAGTTTATTTCAATACCTACCTGAATTTCTGCGGAAATAGTTTTAATCCACTCATCTACAGTCTTTCTGATTCGAATTTTCTCTAACATCTCTCTATACAAGAGAAAAAATAATTTTCTTAAGTTAGCATTTAACATCCTGGGGACAGAACCTAGATGAGATCTCTTATCTATCAACAGTTATGAATTTACCAAGTAGCCTGATATCCTTCATCCAAAAAGAAAAAGAAAGTGTTACTAGCTTTTATCAAATCTTGGGAGAAAATAGGATCCCTCTAGGTGACACAGGGATCAAAGTCTCAGTGCTATCAAGCTATCACCAGCCACTGTGACATGAGTTTGATTCCCCACCAGAGAGCTAACACCACATGGCACAGAAGACCTCTCCTGCCTTACCTACTGATCCCCTTAAAAGTGTATTTCAGTATATCCACCTTTTCTGCTTCTCAGTCCATCTCTGTGAAACCTCTTAAACCCCTGCTCTTCTGGACTACACCCCCGTTTTTGTATGCATAAATAAATAAGTCTTTAAAAAATTGTTGGGAAAATGTTTGAAAGACACATTTAGATTCCAGAATAAATGTAAAGAAATGTACCAAAGAGTAAGAGAACAAAGGGAAAAATTATACTTGTAAAAAGGAATACCAACATGTGTATATATATGAATTCTGACTTTTTAAGTTCACATCTTCAAAGACACTAAAGAACCTTTACTAAACACTATAATACATAAAGCAAAATTAAGTGCTTAGAAAAAAAATTACAAATGGTGACTGCGAATTGGAAATTTCATAAATAATCTTGAGATGCCAACATCTTGTCTTACTTGTTGGTAGATAAAGCATTAATAAAAGAATACATGGCAGCTCCATCCTTTGCACGAATAATAGCTTCCAGGTTTTCTTCAAGCAATCTTTTATTGTTTTGTACTCCTCTCAGAATCTTCTCAGCATCTTTCAAAACAGATCTCTTACTGGTTGGTTGAAGCTTAGTGGAATTCTGTGGAAAATCGGCAAGCTGTGACATAGTCAAAGAATCTTTTGGCTTAAAAGAAAAAAAAGAGGCAAAAATATTACCATGTAAAATTTATGAGTTGACCTCTGAAAAATATGGGGGCTGGGAGCACTGACCTCCACCCAGTCAAATAATGCTTATAACATTTGACTCCCCAAAAACTTAATAGCCTGCTGTTGACCAGAAGCCTTACCAATAATGTAAGCAGTAGATTACCATATACTTTGTATATTACACTCATTATACACTTTATTCTTATAATAAATTAAGCTGAAGAAAAAGTATAATTAAGAAAAATATAAGAAAGAGAAGATATATAGAGTACTAATACTGTATTTACTGATATCATAACTTTACATCATGTTCTTAAGAAAATCTCCACATAATTAGACTCCACTCCATTCCCTATCCCCACACAGTTCTAACTGGTATCGTTCAAGAGTTAACTGTAATTAATTTCATCCAAACAAGAACTGGTACTATTGTTGAGGTTATATATTATACTAATATATTCTAAGGATATATTAAACTGAAGGGTTCATCAACTGAAGAGTTATGAAAGAACAGTTGGCAACTAAGGTTATATTTAGAAGTAGAAGTGTGGCTATTAAATAAAATAGGACCAGGAAATCCACGCAATGCTTAGCAGTCCAGTAGCCAATGAAAACTATATTTGGTGAAGAAAACTAAAACAAAAGAGCAAATTGGTTCTAGGTAAGCATAGTAGACACAGTTCTCCTTTTCCCTTCTTCCTCTCCAACAGAAGTTGGAAAACTAGAGGTAGTCATATGGTCAGCTCAACCCAAGGAGTAAGAAGTAGAAATCACTTCATGAGGACTTTTGGAAAAGTTTTATGAAGAGGACAGATTTGGTTGACAAAACATTTCAAGTGATTCGTCTTTATACTCTTTCCATCTTGATAACTTTTTTATTTCATAATTTTTACCTTTCCTAAACAACAATTTTAATATTCTCTTCTCCTTTACCTGGAGTATGCCACTTGTTTCTTTCTTCTTTTGGCCAAGATCATGAAGAACATCATCAGACTTCTGCAAAGTTACCTTAGCTATGCCTAGCTCTTCATAGGAAGGAAATCTTTGAGAGGATAGAGTGCCAATGCTGTAAAAGATTCAATGAATATCTGATCATACAAGTCTTTCATATACTTAGTTATAAAAGGGTTTTCTTTGAAAAAGCTAATACACAGACGCAATTCCAGACTAATAGAACAGGAACCTCTAAAACTCTACTCCTGCATAAGAACATAGAAGACACCAAAAAAAATTTGTCAAAATCAACATTTTCAAAACCTGGAAATTAGACAGAGGTTTGCAACAACCCAATAATACTTATTCAAGAAAAATGGCTGACTCTGACAAAAAAAACAGCAAGCTTTATGACAGCTAAGGTTGTCCCATTCCCAAAAACCCTTACCCAATTGAGACCCTTGAGAGTCAACAGCTTTACAACCAGTGTAAACTGTGAAAACTAACAGACTGAACTACCTAAAAGGGAAAAATAGGGTAGAAGTTCTTCAAAAAATCCAATTTGCAGGGTTTCTGTTTATCAAACTCAAAGCTAGTTCAATGAGAAGTAAACAACAGCTTTGCAATAAATTAAAAATCTGAGAAAAATAGTTGGCCACAGTGAAACATCTCGAAGCATCAAGAAATCTCTTGATAATAGATTCAGGGTTATGTGCATTCCCAAGAAAGATTGGAGAAGGGTAGAATCTCTTGCATCTGGCTAACTTTATGACTCTGTGAAAGCAGGAAGTTAAGGCTAACAAAAGTTAAGCCTAGAATAAACTGGTAAAATTTAGAGTATAAACACCCTTTGCAAAGAAGGGAAGGCTTACTAATTCAAGATAGTTAATAGACATGCTAGTGATTGAAAAAAGATTCTTATAACACCCTCTGCAAAGAAGGGAAGGCTTACTAATTCAAGATAGTTAATACACATGCTAGTGATTGAAAAGAGATTCTCAGAACTAAATAAAAACTAGTGACATACAACAAAAAATAGGCTTTACAGAATTGTCTAACAAAGTCACTAAACATTAAACAAGAACATCAACAAACAGCAACAACAAAACTGGGGGAATGGGTGTGGGTCGGGGGAAGAATCTGATTTCCAGAGATTGTACACTATACTATTGTAAATGTCGTATTTTTCAACACAAAGTTTTGAGACAAACAGGAATGTATAGTTCACACGTTTAAAAAGAGCGGAGGGAAAAAGACAAAGGAGTAAAGGACATTTGCATAGGCACAAGTGGGCAGAAAGAGCTGCCTGCATGGTCACAGGCGGGTGGCCATAGGGGAGCTGCCTCCCCTGAGAGAGGTCCGTGAAGACAAGTCCCGGCAGGTACAGGTCTGCTGTCCTGCAAAGGGAGAGAATGGGTGAAAAGGAGCTCCTGCATAGGCACAGGAGGGCAGAGGACTGCTACCATCTAAGATAATTTTTAAAAGAAATGCTATAAACTTCATAGAGAAATTTCAGATACATCAGTATAGCTTATTCCAATCTCTTTATTTTTACCTGTCTTTCTTCTCAGGGTTCCATCCTATTTTTGACCTACTTAGTGAGGTTTTGTCAGAAGATTCACTTTTTCTTGTCAAAGAATCATGATTATTCAAAATTTGTTCCAACAGTCTCACATTTCCTACAACAGGAAACAGTATTGTTTTTCAAGTATAATTTCTCTTTTATATCTCATAAATATGTACTAAGTTATATACTTATGATAATTATCTTCTCAATTCACTTTAAAATGTAGGCTATAAACACACTCATCAAAAAAACCATTTATAATTCATGACTACTGTGCTGTAAAAGCATAGGCTTGAATTTGTTTCTATCATAGAAAAAAGGAATTTTTTTAAAAGATTTATTTATTTATGCATACAGAACTGGGGTACAGAACAGAGGTGCAGGAGTGGTGAGAGAATTCACAGGCAGATGGACAAAGTACATTGCTGAGGGGAGCAGGAGGTGTGTCAGGAGAGGTCTGCCACGCCATGTGGGTCACCTCCCTGGCTGGGTTTCGAACTCACACTGAAGTGGCTGTGGCAAGCTTCATGGCCCATGGTGCTGTGCTTTAAACTCATTATGCCACCAGGGAGGACCCCCCCCCAAAAAAGAATTTCAATGAGAAGTGCCACCATCACAATGCCTTGACAAGCTTTGAAAGCATTTAAATGATTCCAAGAATAATGTATATTTAATATTTTCACTTACTTTTATTTTTATTATATTTTAAGGGTTTATAATAAATTGTACTTTGAGGTCACTTTTAAAAGTTGTTCTTTATTTAAGTTTATATATCAGCACTCTTTCCAACTGAACAATACTTATGAATACTAAATTTGAGCTTTATTACAGAAATTCACTTCTAAAAACAATCTAAGGACACATGCTCTAAAATAATCAACCAACTCAGCATGGTATCTTTTATTAATAATAAGACTTATTATTTAAAGTTTCAAGTAGTAACCTGTGGAAGATAGCTTCTAAATTTATAAATTTATATCTCTAGCTCCTTCTATTAGGAATGTAAAGAACCTGAATTGCCTAGTAAATATCATTTTAAAAAAGTATTAAAAATAGAGACTTATTTTAGTTGCTAGTAGGCACATGGGAGAATTATAAACCGTGAGTACAGAAATCTGCAAATCAAAACCACATGAGATAGCACTTCACACCTGTAAGAATGGCCCATATCCAAAGATAAGAAAAAAACAAGTGCTGTTAAGGATATGAAGAAAAAGGAATCCATACATAATGGTGGTAGGAATGCAGAGTGGTCCAGGCCTTATGGAAAACAATATGGAGGTTTCTCAAAACAGATCTACCATAGGGCCCAGTATTCTAATCCTGGTACCCAGCTAAAGAACACAAAACACTAATTTGAAGGACTTATGTACTCCTCGTCTCACTGCAGCAGTATTTACAAAAGTCAAGCCACAGAAACAACTTAAATGCTCCCCAAAAGATGAGGAGATCAGAAAGATATGGTATATATAAACGAAGTGAGATACTACTCAGCTATTTAAAAAATAAGCTTTTGCCATTTGCTACAGCATGGATGGAACTGGAAGGGATTATGCTAAGTAAAGTAAGTCAGAAGGAAAAAAGACACGATACCAGATGGAGTCACTTGTATGTGGAATGTAAAGAAACAGTCAGAGTCAAATGTATAACAAACCCAAGGAATCTGACAACAGAGGTGAGAGGGGAGGGGAAAAAACCAAGTGGGTCGGGGCACAGTGGACTATGGGTGAGGACTATGGGTGTTTGGTGGTGAGTACAGAGTAGTAACACTGCCTGAGGGGGAGCTCTTATACCTCTAAATCATGATTAGCAAACCAAAGGTATGACAGTTAAAAAAAAAAGAAATAGGGCTCTTCCCTAGTGGCACAATGCGTAAGAACCCAGCACTGCAAGCTGACTGAAGCTGCTTCAGTGCAAGTTCAATCCCAGGCCCCAGAGGTGATCCACATGGCACAGCAGACCTTTCCTGTTTTGACTGTTGCTCCCCTCAGCAGTGTACTTCATTGTTCTGCTCCCCACTGTCTCTGGTGAATCTTCTCACCGCCCCTGCATCTCTAGCTTGTACCCTAAATAAATCTTTAAAAATACATCTTCTTTTTTGAGATAGGTCTAAGAAAAAATGGGCACTAACTGTGCTTTTTCCTTCTTTTTTATTTGTAAATGCTTTTTTTACCTGTATTACCCAACATGTCCATGTTTTCTTTTTCTTCCATAGGATTTTCCCTCTTTGATATTTTATCATCCTTTGAAACAGGTATAGGAGCAAACCTGCGAGGTGCTGGTGTCTCCAACGGAGATTTCTGTTTATCAAAACCCTTTTCTTCAACCTCTCTTGAAGATGCTTTAATAGAAAATAATAAGTTTAGCTTACTCTTTAAAAACTAAGTTGTGAAGTGTTACTTTCCTTCAACATTTTTAAAATAACAGAAAATGTTATCATATATACAAATTATTAACAAGATTCAGAAATAATTCCATGCTTACCAGAAATTTACTAATAAGTTATTATTAAAGTTATAATAGTCAGTGCTACTTAAGCTGTGTGCAAACGGTACAGCTAGATAGTCACTGCTCATGGCACTGAAAACTAGCAAGATCATCTGGCACTAAACACAGAAAGTTTTATAATTTTCATATACTTTGCCCTAGCAATCTTAGGAATTTATAGTAAGGAAATAACCTAAAGGAGAAAAAGCATTAAATACAAGGTGATTTTAATTACAGTATTATTAATGAAGAAAAACCCTAAAAACTCCCTAACTGTCCGATAATAAGATAATTGTCAAGTGTAACAGTTATTTAACAGACTACCCTTTAGTCATAAAAATTAAAATTGTGTAACTATGTAAAACATGGGAAAGTTTTGATATACCAGTAAAAAAAAGTACAAAATTATATTTATGCTACATTACATACAGATGATAAACGCCCAACGAACAGAAAAACTCTAATTTACACATTTTTTCTCGTTACTGTCACTAAAGTATACAGATACAGATTAAGTATAGAATCAATAAAGCAGACATTTTTTCTTTTTAAATTGAAGTCTACAAAACCAAAATTATGAACAAGTAATTCTCTAAAGTATAAAGCAAATATCCATCCCTGTCAAAAGCATGTCTGGTTACAATGAAACCTGAGTTCTGGCCATAACTGCAATATTCTCACTCTTAAGTCAGGTGACCTTGGGCAAACAAATCATTAACTTCTCTTTCTTTCCCCTCCCTTTAGAAAAATGGATTCATATCATTTCACAAAAATTTTGTAGGGACAGTTCATTTGTTGTAAAACATAAGGCACTTACAAATGTAAGGAAACCTTACTATACAATTTTATGTAATACTATACAAATTGAAAGTACTACATGGATCTGTAAACCATCAAAAGATAGAATCTTGATTTTTACTCACTATTCAAAGATCAATAATTTGGAGGTATTTATTTTTATTTTAAATTCCAAAAGTTTAATACAAGTAAGCTCAGTGTTATTTGTTGTTTTTAAAATTCTATTAAAATAAAAAGACATACCACAAACTCTGAAAATATTTTAAAATACTTTATATTCAGGTGGTTTCTCAGCTAGCAAAATCAAGAATAGAAAGCATAGTTTACCAATGAACCAGAGTGTTGATCACATTTCTGACCCTAGATAAGTAAAACTTTTCTAAATTTTTAAGTGCTTCTTGACAATTTATGAAGGCTACTAAAACCACAAATAGGCCATAATCCATAACTTGATAAACAAAAATTTATTGTAATAAAGTTACAAATCTAAAAAAAGAAAAATTTTATTAAACAAATACTCTACAACCTAGAGGATAAGTTTTCAGTTCATATGTCACAAAGAAAATTCATAGCTAACATTTCTTACTCATATTCAACTACATTTTTTTTACCTTGTTTGGAAGAAAATGTGTTGTATGAAGACAGATTACAGCTACTAAGATTAGAAAGGTCGGGTTTTACAGAATACTTTTCCACTGCTCCAGCAGTAGGCATGGTGACAGGCTGAAAACTACTAGACTTGAGTGCAGCACTAATGAAATGAGTCTAAAAGATATAAAATTATTTATTAATTCAAGTAACATTTGAAAGTTAGATGACCAAAGACAATGATAATAGAGGACTTGAAAAAGATAACAATATACAATGAAAATACACATACTAAGTGCAACTATCCATTGCATAGAGAGCTGACTGGAAGGATACAGTAGCACAAAGATCTCTATTAAGTTTGACTTTCTACCGTGACCTTGATTTTATTTAAACATTCTAAACTGTACTTTCTTCCTTTCTCAGAGATGGTTTAAGGCCAGTGAAGCAAGCTATGAGAGGATCAGGACAGAAGGACCCAAGTTGTAGAACTCTACCTCAACCAGAGAATTTAAAACCAAAACCTCTGATCTTTTATATCCTGGATAGTAAGATTTCATTTCAAGCAAAAGCTTAAAAAACCATGGAGGAGAACCATGTGGTTCTCCAAATGTATATATCAGAATCATGAATACTCAGCTACTCAAGGTCCCATCTCAGACATGCTAGCTTCAGAATCTGAGAGCTACAAGCATGAGTACAGTTGTCCCCCTTATCAGTGGAGGATACACGCCCCAGTGCATGACTGAAATAACTATGTGTATATTATCTATGAAGTTCAATTTATAAATCAGGCACATTACGAGTTAAGACTAATAATAAAGTAAAGCAATTATAATAATATACTATAACATGAAGATGGTCTCTGTCAAATTATCTTACATAATGTTTTGCACATAATTATTTTTGGACTGCGGTTTGCCACAGTAGCCAAAATTATGAATAAATGAGGTGACTACTGTCGTTTTATAAAACTTTCTGAGTAAACAAATAATTGCCATATAAGTACTTTTTAACAAAAATATCACAAAATAAAGGAAAACTGGATGAATGCAGGCCACTTTAGTCACAATGGCTAATGGTAGCACTAGCCCATTGTTGTTTCCTCTAGAGTTTACGGACCAAAATATGGGATCAAGAGCTGACACTGTGCTTTAGAGTGATAAAGAAATCGTTGGCAAAATTTGATGACTTTGTAAATGTGGTACTGGAAGATGTCACTGAAATCATACTAGAAGGAAGAAGAATTACTAGATTAGATTTTGCTAAATGGAAATACTATAACAATGCTGGTTCCAGAAAAGTGTATGTGCTTTTCTTTGACTTATGATAGATTCTGCTTTGCCCAATAATGACAACAAAGCAGAAATTTTTAAAAAGTATTTTAATGTTTGGAGTTGATGAAGCTTCCCATTAAAAGGGAAATGCTTTGGAAACACATTGTAAATACCTGTATTTGTAAGTTAATCATGGTTATCCTGGAAAAAAAGAATGTTTGTTTCTTGGTAAAGGAAAGGAAAGGTGGGGAGGGAGGCAGTTAGGGAGATACAGAGGCTAACAATAAGGAGAGTTCTCACAAAACTACTGACATTTGAACTAGAACATGCAATTTTTCAAAAAGAGGGGAAGAATTATGAACAAGCAAGTCACTATTTTAGAAACAATGGTTTTAATCTAACAAGCTATTCCAATAATCAATGAATAAATAGGAGTTTAGAGATCCAAGTGGTAAGAGATCATGGGATGTGTGCTAGTTTCATTATTCCAGATACCTGAATATCTATTTGCTGTTGTTGTAATTTTTCAAGATGCCTAATGTGCTGCTCCATAAACACATTCATTTGCTTTTCATGATCATGACAGTGTAGTTTCTCCTGTGTGTGTTGAATATTTGTTTGCTGTTCGGTAACACGCTGTAACTGCTTATCAGTCTCCTGTAACTTATTGAGCAATTCTGTAACAGAATTCACTTTTGCTTCCAACTCACTCTGCACCTAAAATAATCAAAAAATATTTTAAAATGACCAATTACTAGAAAGATTATTTATAGCAATTTATAATGAGAAATGATCAAACAAGAGCTTTTGCCCTCTAAATTGATGATGATTTAATGCCTTTACTTTCAGAATCACAGAAATAAAAGGCAGAAGACAGCCATCCTTAGGTAGAGACTTTCTCATTAAAAAAAAAAAATGTTTGCTACCTTGGATCTTTATAATGCCAAACTTAATTGGAAATGTAAAAAAGAAAAAAAAAAAGTAGCTTTTGATACTTCACCAATATAAAACTGAGTTAGGTCAACAACCTTGAGTTCTAGTCTTTACTCTGCCACCTACTAGCTCTAGGATCTATGCCTGCTCTGACCTGTTTCTGTTTCCTAATTACAAACTAAGGAGGTTGGCACAGATGATCTTAAGGTCCCTTAAAACTCTCATATACAGATGACCAGCCACCTTGGGTTGTACTGGGGTGTTTCTCAGGATGAGGGATTTTCAGTGCTAAAACTGGAAGAACCCTGGATACCCTGGTGTTATCACAGTGATGACGGGCAAAGTCTCACAACTCCTGAGAGGAGATATGCAATTATAGACAGACTCACTCTTTTAAACTGTGAGCAACTAGAATATCCTTAGTATGCAACTGGACTCAACTATTTATAGCATCAGTTCCTAATAAGCATTTTTACATTTTACAAAGCAGTTATGAATATCTGGGCAGAAAAATATACTTTTATAAGTGGAGCTGCTGTTGCAATGGCAGCAGCAGTTGCTGCAGCCACAGTTGTAACTGAATCAATTCCACTGGGTGAAGTTCTAGTCTCTGGAGTAACAGAATCCTTTTCTGTGCCTGCATCTTCTAAAAGCTGTAACTTTACTTCCTTAAAAGCAGGCATAGTTTGAGTTCTGTAAATAAAAAAGGGGAAAAAATATATTAAGTAAGCTACACTGAACCATTCCAAGAAACATCTGCTAAATTCTGGCTTTCTTGATTTTTTAATTGAAATACCTGTTTTTCCTTAGCATCATCTTTATCAAACAACAGTATTTGGTTAACAAAATCTACTAAGTTTCAGGACACTAAACATTGAAGAAATAACAAAATAATTTCTTGGAAGGTAGTGATTATGTCAGAAAATAATATTCACGTTTATAAAATGATGTAAATGTTAACTGCAAAGCTAAACATATTAAAAACTAAAAACTTAGAGTGTTTATAAGGTTCTAAGAATTCAACTTTTATTCCCAAAGGTAGACAACCTAAAAGGAATTGTGAAAACTGCTAAAAAATTTTTCTGGATTCTAGTTCATTTAGATTTAATTAATGCCATCTGGTGTTAAATGGATACAAAACACAAAAGCAGCCTGTATTAAAAGTGAAAGATACATATCTGTAATAAGGCATCTAACAAACTACCAAAAAGACTCATCAATTTTGCTCTATACCTGACTTAAAAGAAAATAATGAAAGGAACTGACAAAACTGGAATTCCTAGGTAAGTCTAAGTAAAAACTACAAAAATGTATTCCATTTCCCGCTCTGGGATTTCTCCTTGCATTTTAAAAGACACCAAGCTCTTAAACTTACTAATCCTTCTTGATATTTCTTCATTTCTATTGAGAGCATCATTTTGTCAGTCTCAATTTTTGAAGTTGTCTTGACTTCTCTATACTCTGCCTACCTTCTATATACCAAGTGAGTCACCAATTTTTCCAATTATTTCATCATAATTGCAGTAACAATGTCACAGAATTACAGAAGCAATTTCCTGCTTTTCCAGATAAAAAAACTGAGAACCAAAACTGAGACTTAATCAAAGTCTAAAAATAGAACGTGGCAGATTTAGGGCCTGATTCCTGGCAATCTTCCTACAACCTTGGTTTTTTTTCTTTGATAGTACTCCCATCTGTACTCCTCTCTCGTTAGTATGATACTTTATCACCAGCTGCCAACTGTTTCATTATTCCAATTTTACTTCCTTAAAAACTGTTAACAGATAAACCCATGGAGATTACAACTGAGATGGGAAAATGCACAAAATGATGTAGAAATAAACATATTACTTAAAAAAAAACCTTCCACAGATATTTCTCCACCTTTCAGAAAACTAAAATTATTCCTTATGGACAAATGAATAGGCTTATTTCTTCTGCTTGCTTTACACAAACACTATCCCTGGCCCTGCCCTGGTTATAAATAGGATGGACAGAGAGGTAGATAGACAGACAGACAGACAGACAGACAGAAAAACTTTCTGTTACTTCACAAGACAACCTTTCCCAGGAATCACACCATTCCTCACTGACAATACCACAGCGCTCCCACACCTGACTCCATGATTTTCCTCACTGTTCTCTCAACTTTCATCTAACTTATTTTCCTTCCTCTTTAATATCCTACCCAAGTCTTAACATTTAATAAGTTTACCCCTATCCACTTCCACTTGATCTCTATATTCATTCCTCTTGGCATTTACTGTGTATACCATGCAATTGAAACTTGATAATTAGCTATCCCATTTAGGTTTAGAACAGTTTAATAATATTTGAATACAGAGCTGCTTCTTAGAACTCTAACCACTTATTCCTAAAGGTGGGGAGGGAGGCAGTTAGGGAGATACAGAGGCTAACAATAAGGAGAGTTCTCACAAAACTACTGACATTTGAACTAGAACATGCAATTTTTCAAAAAGAGGGGAAGAATTATGAACAAGCAAGTCACTATTTTAGAAACAATGGTTTTAATCTAACAAGCTATTCCAATAATCAATGAATAAATAGGAGTTTAGAGATCCAAGTGGTAAGAGATCATGGGATGTGTGCTAGTTTCATTATTCCAGATACCTGAATATCTATTTGCTGTTGTTGTAATTTTTCAAGATGCCTAATGTGCTGCTCCATAAACACATTCATTTGCTTTTCATGATCATGACAGTGTAGTTTCTCCTGTGTGTGTTGAATATTTGTTTGCTGTTCGGTAACACGCTGTAACTGCTTATCAGTCTCCTGTAACTTATTGAGCAATTCTGTAACAGAATTCACTTTTGCTTCCAACTCACTCTGCACCTAAAATAATCAAAAAATATTTTAAAATGACCAATTACTAGAAAGATTATTTATAGCAATTTATAATGAGAAATGATCAAACAAGAGCTTTTGCCCTCTAAATTGATGATGATTTAATGCCTTTACTTTCAGAATCACAGAAATAAAAGGCAGAAGACAGCCATCCTTAGGTAGAGACTTTCTCATTAAAAAAAAAAAATG